GGTGTCGTTACTCAGTTTTCATCGGTTATACCATCGGCAGCAGCATATGTACATCCGCTTCATCAGCCTTTACAGAGAAGCCAAACTTGGAAGTGGAACAGGATTTATGAAAATGCCTTCACGTTGGTTAAAAGCTCCTAGAATCATCAGACGTTCTTGTGCATTACGACCTGCAAAAGGCTGCTGTTCTCTCTTGTGATGCTTTACCCTACGGCCTTGTAGATGTTTCACTGCATGAATTACCTGAGGGATACCACCGACCCATTGCCTATGCCTCAAGAACATTGACCGGAGCAGAATGAAATTATTCGCAGCTTGATCGAGAGGCCACAGCTGTGCTTTGCGGTACTACCCGGTTTCACGAATATTTACTTGGCCGACCCTTCGTGATCTACACGGATCATAAACCTCTTGTTTCCTTCCCTGGCCAAGAGAAGGAGATTCAACAAATGGCTTCAACCAGTATGATTCGTAGGTCCCTCGTTCTATCTGCATATAGATAAAAACAATGGAGTGCATTCCGGGCCAGCAGAATACCACAGCTGATGTTTTTAGTCGACTTCCTTTACCAGAGATCGGAGGAGTTCCCTCCACAAGAGTTTGTAAACTTCGTTCGGCATCTCAAGTATTCCCTGGTCAAGTCAACAGACACATCAGGAGACTGATAGAGATCCAGTTTCATCGCCGGTGAAACGCTACGCTCAAGTCAGGCGGCCAAGTGGCACATCCAAAGAATTCGTGCTTTCCCTAATAGGATTTCTGAGCTCAGCATCCAGACCGGATGGTTACTATGGGACGCACGAGTTATAGTCCCCAAAAGAGTTCGGTCACCTATCCTAGATGAACTGTAGGACACGCACCCGGCAGTTGCCAAAATGAATTCACTAGCTCGCTTTCATGTATGATCCCTTGAATTAGACGAGGACATTGCAGCAAAGATTTGAAGTTGCAGACATTGTCAGGAAAACCGAAACGCCACACCCATGCACTAACGCAGCCTTGGAAGTGGCCAGGAACTCCCTGGAGACGCCTCCACATATACTATTTCTGCCCTTTCGAGGGTCAGATAATTTTATTGATTGTTGACGCCCATTCTAAGTGAACTGAAGCCCACATTTCGGTCTCATCAACTTTAGCTAGCACCATCACCAAACTGTGCACAACATTCGCGACGTTTGGTCTCCCCGAAACACTAATATCTGACAAAGGGCCGGCATTTTCTAGTGCTGAGTCTTGTACTTTCCGTCGCTCGAACGACGTTAGACACATTACTACTGAACCTTATAATCCATCCTCCAACATGTTGCCAGAGAGGGCGGTACAGACAGTGAAAATTGCTGCAAAAACAACCAAATGCTCAATTGCGTGTGTCTTTAGATCGTTCCCTGTTCGCCTACCGAAACATGCCAAACGAGACAAACGGTAGAAGCCCGGCAGAGTTAATGCTTGGTCGAAGCTTGCGCACACGGTTAGATTTACTGCTAATAGGCAACCACGAGCGAAGGAACATTTTGATAATTGCAGAAGGGATAGAATTGTGACAGAGTCAGGCCCAAATTACGCCCGTTTACCTATTGACTTTGGGTTTGAGCCGGCCATCGTAAAAACAACTAACGGACATTGTTTTCGGGCGGGCAACACCCAATTTCTTTCTGCAACTAACGGACAGATCATAGTGTAGAGGGGCCGCTTCCAAGAATGCCTCGGGGGAGCTCTTCGGAGCTAGCTGAGAGCAGATCGAGAAGGACGGCTAGCGACGAGCCTGGGCCCGGAACTACGGAGCGGGAATATGTGGACAGCGCAATAAATCAGACATATACACCGCTAGCGCAGCCCACAGGACCGAGGCCGAGCCGATTGACACAGCCCAGAACAAGCAAGTCGAGAGCTCTCGAACGACTCCTGGCCGATCCAAATCGGGTACAGAGAAGTGGAGATCGAGGCGAAAACAGGAAGGCGGGTCTTCCAAGTCAGAGCTCCCGAGGCGAAAGGACTGGCTCGTCTCCAACATCCGTACCGGTGTTGCGTTGTGGGACGGAAATCTAGTCGATATTCGATAGCGGACGTGAGACCCTCATGTGCCCATTTTCGGTGTGCAATAAACGTCTACCCCCCCTGTCGTGTCGTTCCCGCTACAATAGAAGCAGAAACTGAGGATGGCCGGATCTTGCGACGAAGGCAGTCGTACCGAGAAACAATTGCTGAAGCAGATTTGCCATTCCAGTCACCGACTACTATGCAGGTGCTTGACCCACAACCAGTAGCTGAATCTTTGTTACGTAGCTCTAATCGTCAACGCCGATCAGTCAATCGCTTCCAGGTCAGTTAGCCCAAACCAAAGGGGGAAGGATGATACGGTCATTCGTCATGCCAAATCCATCCAGCCGAAAAGGTTAATGCGTAGGAGCGCGTGTAATTGAGTGTGTGCCTGTTTTTGTACTAACCAAAGGCAGGTTGTTGGAACCCACCATCCTACTAACAAAACGATACTATCGCTTACCTTAAACAGGATGAAGTTCAAAAGATCTAGGCTTTAGACCGCTAAGCGTAGATCACAGTATCCTAGCCCTACTACCTGTTCAAAAGTTATCTGTAACTGCGTTACCTGTAGACACGGCTGCTTACAAGACGCGGTAGTGAAAACCGTATGAATCTGTCTCGCTGAGGCTACCTTATCTATGCATGACAGCCAAGCTTTTGTGATCTTGTTTTGTGGATAATTTGTCGGCACCTTGACTCTGGACATTTTCTCAACTTATTTAGGTTATGCACTAGACCCGTTCACTTCTTCTCATGGTAATCTTCTTTCACTGTGTCATCATGACTTTGAGCTAGTAAAACATCACTACAAGTGTTGTTGTCGTCCCCAATGACATTGAAATTTCCACGGTACTAAGAAACAGTCCACCATGGGCCGTATCTCTCAAATCACATCCAGCATGGATCTGATACACTTCGGTCGACTGCAAGACTAGGCCATAATCAATTAAATGGGTTTAATCAAGCTTCTTGTACTTCATTTCGCACTCTCTTGCGTGATTACGGAATGGTATGGCCCGCTCCCTAATCCCCCTCCCAAGAAATAACATTTCTGTTCTGGCTAGCCAAGCAACCTCCTCATGGTGCCAGCTGTGTGGTTAGGGTATACCTCGTTCCAGCAAATAGTTCGGCGACAATGTTCCAGGACGTGGTGGGTTTTCGCCTGGCAAGCGTTGTTCCAGTAAACAGTCACAAGTGTCTGCTTAACAACACTGTGACGTGGCGGTTGTGACTCGCCACAAATTAAAGTCACCCCCTTGCTTATCCTGACAACCGTTTCAAGTCCACAAACATCAAGCATTCCTTTAGCACTGGCGACAAGCTCAAAAGTGCAGGAAGGCATTTACAGATCCCATAAACACGGCTGCACACGCCTACCTGCCCACATACATATATTCATATATGAACCTAAGTAACAACCCTATTGTTTCATTGTACATTAACCGATCACATTTTGCACTCTTAACATGTACCCTTAACCTGCTCATGCCTATGCAGGCGTGCCTCTCTTAGTCGAGAATAAACATTTTATTTAGTTCTTTAGTTCTGCAGGGAACCATATGCTAAGTCACTGTAGTTAACCCGTTTAGACTAATCGCTGCGTGAATGGATTGCGATGGGTATTGTCAGTTCGGATGCCGAATAACCACAGTGTAAATTTGAGTCAGTTCGGTCGCTGGTGTGCTGAGTGTTTGTAATCCGAGTGGAAGGATGGATAGGGATGACGGGCTAGGCAATCGTTGGGAAGCGGACACCAGAGACTAAGTCATTGGACATCCCAAGCGTCGTCAGCCGTCCATGAATGTTCGCTCATGGTTGAAGTAAGCGGTGCCGCAATAACCTCCCCCTTTTTCCTCCCATGAACCAAATAAAGTGGCTTGTCGGCACGGTAATTTCGTCATGGTTTTGAAGTTAAGCATGGTGCCGTTGTAGTCAGCTTAACATAAGGGAAAAAGTTGTATAAATCTAAGGACTGTGTTTGAAGCCGATAAATACTGAGTATCCCTCGCTGTTCACAGAACTATTGATCGGACATTTCAATCATGACGCTCGATCCCATGAGGTAAAGATTTTCCGCGAATTCTCGTCAGTACATGAGAAACGTGGCTTGCGAAGCTCAGAAGTGTAAGGGTGAAGATGCCAACCAGCTTTGCATACTTTTCGAATTCCAGTCCCAGTTTATGCACTTCTACTGGAAAAGTCCAGTGGGAAACCGGTTTCTCATGGGGTGTCCGAAGCCATCCTTATCTAACATTGGTATGACAAATGAACGCGCCAAATGTTCTCGTGGGTCTTACTGCCATGTATCCTGACTTGAATATTATATCATACAATTGCGACAGCAGCTAGATTGCTTATTAATCTGTTTCTAGCGAACGTTGTATCGTTGTGGAGGCATTCATTCTTCTGGAACTATGTCAAATTTTCCTATTTTCAGTCTGTAACTCTGTTCTACCGAATGGAGGTTAGTAGTTTTTGGGACTTTACCATTCTGCTTTTTGATCTCAAATTGGTCGCGTAGAACCCACTACTTCAGCAACATTCCGAGTATCCTTCCTAATGGTCTCGCAGTCGGCCAACAGTATTATATCACAACCTTTAGACGAAAGACCAGCATCGTACTAAGTGCATAATAACATGTACACACTACACTCCATGACGCGTTTCGAGGTTATTTCCTCTCATCAGATAGAGATGGTCCCGGGTTCGATGCCTGCTATCTCTATTTGACA